GAAAAACATGTCAGGTGATGTTCATGATGTGATAAATCCACGTCAAGTTTGGCTGAAGGATTTTTTTTGTTCTTGAAACTTTCATGTACTTTTCCTTTGGGGGTCAAGAAGGGAAGTTGGTCAGGTCAATTTGTGTTTTGGACATCACAAAGATGAATCCAAGATAATTGTATATTCTGCCAATCACAAAATATAAGTTGTATTATTTGTGTAGGTGATAAGGTAGGAGGGATCATAAATAGGAGATTTGGATTCAAATTTTCACACTTAAAACAAAAAAAACAAAACAAAACAAAACAAAGTTCTATTCTTTTATTTGTTTGTTCCCCCTTCAAACCAAAAAGTCCATGCTGCATTAACTTTTTCTTTCTTTCATTTTTTTTCGGTTGAATAATCATGCGTGTTTTCTGCGTTGGGCAGTTTAAATAACTTAGACCTCGTTTGATAATAGTCAAATTCAACATTTGAAATTAATGAATTCATATTTTAACATGTTCATACGTGTTGATAACAAAAATAAAATATCTGAATTAATTAAATAACACTGAATTTTCTAGACAAAATTTGTTTCAAAAAATAAGTGATAAACTATTCACTTATCATTTAATGTGATATAAATTCAGATATGTCAGATTTAGTGCGTAACAATTGAGTAATTTAATGAATTTAAATTTCACTTTTCAAACATCAATTTTATGAAAGGCATCCTTAAACAACTATTACTCCTCAACTTTGTAAAGAATTGCATCTCGGCTATTTCTAATGAGAAATGCATCTCATTATTTGTAGACAAAGACAATCAACATAAGAGCTAGGCAAGTGTTGGATACCATTCTAGCCATATCTTTTTTTTTTTTTTTTTTACGAAAACATTACAACCTGTATTAAAATCAAAACAAGCTATACAACTTGAGCAACGGCCCATGCGAAGCTTTATAATTGTATCATTCGACACCAAAGATTTAGATATTCCTCATCTTGCACTAGAGTAGTAGCCATATCTCCTGTTTGCTAAGGTTATAATTGTTACGATTGTTAAAATAGATAAAAGTCAGCTAGTTACAGCAATGGATGAAATATGTGGATGGTTTTTTCACAAAAAAAAAAAGAAAAAAGAAAAAAAAAAAGATCAATGCAGCACTATATGGGCTTTATCACGCTTAGCCACAGTTCGGGTAGGCTCCACCTATAGTCTACACAAAATTTTAATTTTTGGGCCATTTTGAGGACAGCCCCTTTTAATGCCGCTCCTTTAGAATGGGTTTGTAGACAATTCGCTATTAGTATTCCGGTTTAGAATGGACCTCTAGTTTGTATATTTAAAAGAAAGAGAAACTTGTTCTACCAAAGCAAAAAGAAAAATAAAAATGGAAAAGGACATGTTTATATATATATAGGCAATTTGTAATAAAGTTAAGGGGTGGTCTTTCTTTAGGAATTTGCATAATTTTAGAAATCTTCCCTAAGGTTTTTAACAATTTCACTCGGCACCTTCAAACTTTAAAAAAACTTACTTGCCTCTTTTACTTTAGGTTTCTTGTATCATTTACAACCTATTTAAAAATATAATATTAAAAAGTTCATTTTGAGAGAGTAAATAAAATCTCATTTCAAATTTACCAATACGTTGTCTTACTTTTCATTACCAAAACAGTGGGTATATTAACAACAAACGAAAAGCAAAAACAATAGCCATGAAAGTTTATTCTAATTGGATAAAATATGGTGTGCTTTTTAAATATCAAAAGTTAATATTTGAAAGTTTATTTGATGTTTTTGCAAGTTATATATAAATATATATATATATATAATATTTTATCTACTATAAAGTGTTTGAGTTAATTTAAGAAGTTTCATAAATCTTTTGCATGTTTTTCAATTTTTTCAAATTGATGGCTTGAAAAGTAAAAAAACACAATCTGTTAAAAACTATATATAAACTTGTTTGTATTGCTTTTAAGCTGGTACAAAATGTATTCCTATGGTTATAAATTATTATAAGTTATTTTTAAAAGTATTGTAAATCATTCATAATTCTAAGTAATTTAACATTTCTTATTTGAACCAACGATCGAAAAACTATGAAAGAGTTTTTTTATCTTGTTATCAACTTTTAAATTTTCATTAAACAACTACATCAATCAATTATTAAAAATTGAGAGATAATTTCAGTGTGTTATAATAATTAAGAAATCACAAGAAAAGGGCAAATTTGAAATGAAATTGTATTCTCTCTCCAAAATGAGTTTTAATATTATATTTTGAAATGAGTTTCAAATGTTACCAAAAGTTTAAAGTAAGGGAGTCAAGTGAGAATTTTTAAAATTTGAGGGTGCTAAGTAAAACTGTCAGAAACTTTAGGGAGATTTTTGAAATTATCCCTTAGAAATTTCATTTTCAACCTTTAAATATAGATAGGTTTCTATTGATTACAGGGCAGCCTGAAACTTTCTTTACATGCAAAATGGTTGAGGGATATACCCCTCCCACTTGTGTACCCTTTCTTTTCAAAGGCTTAATAAAATTTTGAGCTGACCACAAAAAAAAAAAAAAAAAAACAAAGGAGTTGAGATGTGTACAGTTTTGTGAAGGCACCCCAATCAATAGAAATAAATGGAATAATCTGCTGAAAACATGAATTAGCTTAACCAGTTGTCCAGTTCGAGCTTAACAGCTCCTTGGTTTCCACATGAAAAAATTAATAAGACATGACATTTTCCATCATAATCCTCGCTTTTGCAGTTGGTTTAAGTTTGGAGCACAAAGAGTTAATTAAAGAAATTAAAGTAGGACAATTTGCACTGCTATCTTATTTTTACATGTTTAGAACTACTATTTACGAGTTATATTGGCGGCGAAAATATATTATTATATTCCTTTTTTTTAATAAAAAAGATCATTTCATTCAATGAATCTGCACTAGTAATAGAAAAAAAATATTAAACAAACATGACACAAATAAAATAGATTTGAAATCAATAGATACAATAGATCAACCAACGCTAGAAATTACATCAACAATTCACTTTTTTCAATGTTTCTTCGAATTTACCATTCAATGCATCACATTATCTACCATTCCTCCAAGTACTCCAATTCTTCTAATCACTCATGGTTAGATTCCAGTCATGGTTGGATTCCAATTATTTTCCTGTGCTTATGAAACATGACTATCAGTTAGTTGGTTGACATAGGCCGGCATTCAAATGCTACACAATTATTAGCACGAAAAGTCAAGTCATTAATCCAAGATAGATGTGCCCTTTTCTTGATTTTCTCCTCTCAGGCAACTAAGAGTGGGTACAATGTTCTTAAATGTGATGCAGATAGCCTTCAAAAACTGGTGCTTTGTTGTCCAACTTCAGCGCCAAGTTCGTGTATTTTTCCATCCTACAGGCCGCCATACACGATTAATCTTCACCTATATCATTACACGTGTCAAAAGAAAAGAAACATTTTAAAGTGTCAATCTATATCCCGCTGACAAGGGACTAGTTCAAGTATTGTTGGAAATTTTCGGCACCCGGAAGAGTAATCTAGCCAATTGTCATTTTTTTTTTTTTTTTTTTTTTTTGGGATTGCCAGTGTCCAGAGTGATTATGACTCGTAATTCACTTACATTTTCTTTGATAGAGGCTACATTTGTACCTTTTCATTTTAGATTCACTCATTATACAAGTTTTAAATTTAGTGCATAATAATTTCATAGTCATTTTTTGTGTGTCCATTTAAAATATATACAGATTCATTTTTCCTACACTCACTAAGAATTTTCAGTAAGTCTATTTTGTTATATAACATTTTTTTTATTCTAACAAGTTTATATGCATGCTACATAATTTCTATGCAAATCTAAAACACTTTTTTTTTTTTTTTGCACACGTTGCATGCAATTACACTTGCTAGTGTAAAAAAAAAAAAAAAAAAAGGAGAGAAAAAAAAACCACTGCACTGACGGTCATTTTCACTGCCCATTCAAATATAAATATATATATATGTCAATTTTTTTTTTTTTTCAAAAGCAGGAGTTATTATTTGGATAAGCCCAACTAATACTCCTGAAATGATCGTAATTAATAAAGTCGGTTGCAAAAGCCTTTCAGCGTTTGCTCGCAGTTGATATACCATAAATACTGCCTCATAAATGAGAAATCTACAACTGGATAGGTTCTCTGTGTAGGGGATTTGAAAAAGGAGTATGGTTGGGCCGTTGACACGCTTACAAACTGGTTCATCTGCTGTATTTTCACACCGACATTCACGTCTCTTAGATTTTGTATTTTCATTTTTCTTCCAAAAACCCCCCATTTTTCATATGAAATATGTGAAAAAATAATTAACAAACTTGAATTTATATTTCACTATTTTCTTACTTTTTCATTTGTTATCAATGATTACTTATGCATCAATATTTTTTCTATGCACCATTCCAACAAAAAAATGAAGCAAATTAAGTCAAACATGCATCAGCTATGGAAACCTTCACTATATTCTCTTTTCAAATATTGCTTGGCATTGAAACCTAATGTTTCATACTTTGCGTTCTATTTCAGAATTAGAATAACATATAATGAATAACCACCCTATTGTAGGTGATTTTAGTCTTCACCATGTACGTGGAGTTGAGAATCTTGAGTTTCGAAGTCTCATGAATTGAGTTTTATCTAATTCAAATCGGTTCATATAATTCTCACTATTACATTCAGTGTAAACTCATAAAGTTTTGACATAATCATAAATTTTACGTCAGTTTAGTTGTATGAATTGACAAATTGAAGTTATGCCTACGTTATACAAATTTATACTAAGGCCAGAAATTAACTTATGAGGCGGTTTCCATTAACAAGAAATCTTCTTTTCTTTTATTCTGGAGCCCAGTGTCACTTCCCGTGACGACCAAATAGCTCAAATTCATATGGAGTGAATTACACGGCTCCATTCTAATCAATTACAGCAACCCTTCATAGATGGAGTGATTAGTATATATACCATCCCAACTTAATCCCCGAAAGTGAGGTAGCAAAGGGCACTAGAGAGGTTCACAGACAAGTCGAAGCGATTAGCTAGTGAAGCCTAAGTTGTGGACCTTAGTTTGTACGACAATGGGCGAGCTCAATCAAGATGAAGAATTTCAAGTCCCCGTAAGCCCCACTGGCCAGTACTTTAACAGCTCCATAATGTCCGCTGCTGTTATAGGGGTGTTAGAGTCTGAAATTCCCATACAAGAGGATGACTCCCTAACCTTGAAACTGCTTCAGGAACTTTTCCTACCCATCAATCCACGGTTGTCTTCCATCATGGTATAATCACTTGCTACCCCCATAACTTCAAAGGAAAATTGTGCACAGTTTTTTTTATCATTAAATATATATACTTCATTTTCTACTGTCTCTGGATGTCCTATGTACTTGTTCTTGGGGTGTTAAAAAAAATTTTTGATTCCCTCTTCCAAATAGGTTCCCATGTTAATATGGATGCAAAACTTTTTTGTAATGGGATGGTTAAGCCTTAGCAATTTATTACAGGAATAAGTTAGGACAGAAACTTATGCAGCCTCAAATCCGTCTATATACCACTTGTAATTTTTCACATATTGCTGTTGCAACCAAATTTTTCAGCAGGTAAGCATTATATATAGGGAGCAATAAAATCGTAAAACTTTATAGCTGGCATGATTAACAAAATTTCATAATTTGACTTGAGAAAACTAATATGCAGGTACTTCAAACTACTTTTACCTGTGTGACACTTTGTTTCCTAAAAGTGAAATTCGAGTTATTTTTCATTTTTGAGTAAGTTGTGAAGTAAAGTACGAATCTATGTGTGAACAGGTTCAAGACGAAAAAGGAGTGAAATTGTGGAAGAAAGTAGAAGTGATTCCCAAAAACCACATTCATGTGCCAGTTTTCCCTGAGGGGAAGTCTATAGAATTCTATGATGAATGCTTCAATGACTATTTGTCAAACATGGCTTTGCAGCCACTCCCACAAAGCCAACCATTATGGGAAGTTCACATAATTAAATACCCTACCAAGAACGCAGCTGGAAATCTTGTGTTTAAGCTTCATCATGCACTGGGTGATGGCTACTCAATTATGGGAGCTCTTCTTTCATGTTTACAAAGAGCTGATGACCCTTCTCTTCCTATAACGTTTCCTGAATTTCAAACGAATCCTAAGGGAAAGAATAATGATGAAGGTAGCATATTCAAGAAGGTCCCTCGAGTTCTATCTGGAATAGGTAACACTATATCTGACTTTGCATGGAGCATGTTGAAGAGCACTTTTCTTCAAGATGATCAGACACCCATAAGGTCTGGAGAAGATGGAGTGGAATTTCGACCCATGACTATTACAACAATGACATTTTCCATTGACCAAATCAAGCAAATGAAGGCCAATCTTGACGCGGTAAAGTTTCTATCGTATTAGTAGCATTATATTATGAGTAAGTTTTTTATAAGCTGTCAGTTAGTGTATAATTTTTTCTACACTAATAAATTTAGATCGTACCACATAATATGATTTCAAATTTGAAATTCAAATTATGCACATATGGCTTACGTCTGTATCTGCTTAGTGTAAAGAATTCACTATATTGTCGGTGCATAAAAAATTAATTCTCATATTATAGGGGTTAATTAAGTGCCGGCCAAATCATATATATTTGCAAATCAAGCCTTTGAGAGTTAATTTACTCGAATTGACTTTGACAGTTGAAGGGAAACTGTAGAAGAAGTGCGACAAAAAATTTACCTTGACAATTCTAAGGATTAGAAAAAAAAACATTAATTTCCGATTATTGATTAAAAAAACAGTTAAGGCAGCTAGATAAGGGGTAAAAATTGAGGTTAGTTAGTCAAATTAAAACTGACTATACTTTTAGAGTGTGAAATCGTAAGTTTTTAGCATAATTAAAATAGACATCAGTATCATTCTTGGGCTGCCCATTTAATTGGAAGAGTTTGTAAACACATTAAAAGGCGACTTTGTTAACCTTAATCTTGGAGCTCATGTTCAAACACCATTTTTTCTCCTATTTGAAACCTTGACCAAAACTAGCGATTCCATTGAATAGCCTAAAAATCAATTTCCACTAAAAAGAAAAAGTTGTGAGGAAGGAGCCAAAACATACCCTTACATTTTGTTATAAAAAAATTCTTAAAAGTTGCTTTTTTTTTTTCTTTCTAAATTTTGAAACAGTCAGTAAACGATGTTATATGTGGAGTAATATTTCTGGGGACTCGACTGTACATGCAAGCAATTGACCCAGAAAAGACCAATGGAAAATCTTCAGCATTGGTGCTGCTAAGCACCAGAGCCATTCGTGGGTACAAGACAGTGAAGGAGATGGTGGAACCCAATTCTAAGACTCCATGGGGCAACCATTTTGCCTTTATGCACGTATCCGTCCCAAACCTAGCAAAAGCCGGGTCCCAAAACCCACTAAATTTTGTCCTGGAAGCCCAGAAAATCATCAGGTCAAAAAGAAATTCTGCAGGAGTTTATCTCAACGGCAAATTGCTAGAAACAATGCGCAAATGTAGAGGACCCGAGGTATGAATTGTCGATATCAAGAATAGTTTTATATATACCCTCAATGTTTTTAAATCAATTGATATACATCCTACTCCTTCCAGTTGTATTATTGAGAAAAGCATTCATGTTTTTCACTTTTCCATTGCCTGAGTGTTATTCCATGCAATCACGGATAGTGCAAAATCTGGCCATTTTTTTTTTTATTTTTTTGGCTTGACTTGTGGAATCATGGCTTGATTGACCAAAAGAATGCATAGCCCTGTTGGGCTTTTGAGGTATGATTAGATTTTATAAACTGTAGGGGATTGTGTTAAATATGAGTAATTTTTGCGACTCAAATTTTTGTTGTTGTTGGAAGAATTGCAAGAGCTGAAATTTCTTAATTCTCCACAGGCCACGGCTAAGTTTATCCACAAAACACTAACGAACTCGAGCATGACAGTTTCTAATGTTTTTGGTCCTGTAGACCGATTGGCTTTGGCCAATCATCCGGCTAAAGGAATGTATTTCATGATGGCCGGATCTCCTCAGGTACGTTATAAATTCCATTATTAACCAAAGAGAAAGAAAGAGATGAAATTTGTTAAATTTTTCATACCATTATTTGATTAGAAGTGCAATCTCTTACCATTCTTTTTTTCTTTTGTACTTAAATCTATAATAAAAGAGGTAAAATTCGTTGCTTTTTTTTTTTTTTTTTTGCTCGCAGAATCTTACAATAACAATGGTTAGCTATATGAAAAAGCTGAGGGTTGCAATAGGTGTCGAAAAGGGAATGATAGATGCAGAAAAGTTCAAGTCATCAATTGATGAGGCCTTCAATATGATATCTCTTGCCGCTATCAATAATGGTTCTGCTCCCCACCAACCACCAATTAGTACACCATTGAATGTCACATGATAATTTGCTCTAATTTTGCGGCAAGTAATCGATTATGCTTCATTTAGTCTTCATTACGTTATTTGCTGTACTGCCGACGAATTTTGGCGACATACTTTTTATCGTGCTTGTAATTAGCCCTTTTTTTTGCCCCCCTTTTTCTCGAGGGAAAAGTTTGTTTTGCTTTAAGCAAATACTGTCAGTGTTATACACACACACACACACACACACACACACACATATATATATATATATATATATATATATATGTATGTATATGTATATATGTGGAGACATACGATATGGAAGTTTTTGATGAAAATTTTTGGTTCGCATTTTAAGCAAATTTTTGGTTCGCATATTATTGCGGAGACTTGGTAGGGAAGTTTATTTATGTCGATATTTACTTCCTCCATGTGAAAAGTACTCAATGGTACCACAGAAAAGATAAGACAGAGGCTCACCAGGCATTATTTGCATAAAAATAATTGGGACATAAATAGTTTCTGAACTTTGTCTTGGTTAAATTTACAATTTTAATAGATTTCGGTCAATCATGTATACTAATATTTATCGAATAAAAATAGACATCTTATCTCTTCTAGTGCTCCAGGATCCATGTCTGGTTTGCAAGTTCAAGGGTTTTATTGCTTGGCCCTATAGTATATACAGCCACAATCATGCAAAGTCTACTAATTAATTTGCTGCCAAGTTCCTTTTTTTTTTTTTTTTTTTGGAAGCCCTTCGGTGTTGCTTATGACTCAATATGAAGAAAATTGAAGGGTTAATTCCACTTTGCATTCTTCAACTATATTTGGATTGTATATTTTAGGGATTTTACTTAAGTGGAACAAACTTTGTTCATTAGGGACTGAATTGTCTCATTTTGAAGTTTATGGACTAAAGTGAAAATTTGAACGTAATTGAAGGGTGCAAAGTATGTTTAGTTCAATTTTTATCATAAAAGAAAAGCCACGATATTTACATCAAAGGGTTTCTTCTTTTCTTTTTATTTTCTCTTTGCAGCAAAGTTTTACTGGCCTTGGTTCAATACATTATTGTTTATGACGATGACTTTGTTTGACATTTTATCACAATGAAAATATTCTTATTCATATCATTCTTCAAAAATCAAATGAAAACAGCACGGAGAATTATACCCATCAAAATAACGCCATATATCTACTAGTCAAAAGAAAAAATGTTTCTAGTATATATAAGAAATTTTTGCCAAAAAATAAAAAGAAAAAAATAAACTAACATGGCATGATTTTTGTATACCAATTTGAATCGACTTATCTTTATACAAGATCCATGTTTAGATGCGATAATAATAAAGGATCAGGTATAGGTTGCAAGTAGTAGAGACCAAGTTTCAAAATACTCTAACAAGCATCATTCTACATCATAAACAAGAACTCTTATGCTAGGATGATATTGGGTTGAATGCAAACAGGAAACACATGACAATCAAACCTAATTACCGACAAAATTATAACAAAACCAGTTAAGGCATTAATGAGAATCAAGTTTTCTGAAGTAATAGTAGCCATTTTTCTAAACAAGGATTCACGTCTCACCCATAATATTACACACAGGGATAGTTGCAAAAACCTCTCCTGAGATTTCTAATAATTTCACTTGGTTCTCCTAAAATTTCAAAAATTACACCTACCTCCGTTGTCCATTTAAAATGACAATACTAACCTTAGTAGTTTTAATGAAACTCTCTTGTTACCATGTTTATACAAAGGATGGATTTTATAATTTTTTTTACATTTTTCCTTCTCATTCATTTCTCTTATAAACTTTAAACTAGTCATATTTTTTTGATAATTTTTAATATCATCCAATTTTTTGTAGCTCTTTTTTTTGGTATCAAAATCAAGAATAAGTCAACAATGATTAAAAACAAGTAGCTCAAAATCACTACTAAATTATGATAGTTCCATCAACAAACTAGTCCATAAACTTTTATTAAAAAATAATCCATAAACTTTAAAAGAAACAAATTAGCATTTTTTCTCTATCTTAAAAAGAATTTATATTCCTAATAAAGCACTATAAAAAATAACCTATTATAGCAAAAGGTTTATTGTTATAGTTGATTATTGAATAACAAATATTGGCATGAAAAAATTTACACTCTTTTTGTTTAGAAGAACAAATTGAATTTGTAAGATAAGGGCATTTTAGGGTATTCATAAATTTTTTTACTCTATTTTAAAGTTTGATTACCAAAGTGTCAAATCAAGGGAGGTAAATGTAATTTTTAAAACGTCAAGGGAACTAAGTGAAATAATAAGAAACCTCAAGGGAGGTTTCTGAAATTATCCCTTACACGTAAACTAAAATTTTACTCCAGTCAAGCTGGATATTCTTGAACGAGATTTTTTCCACCTGATTGAAATAAAGGTACGATTGCTGAAAATAGAAATCCGAAAAGCCAATTGTGTTCGACGATTTGACAATAAAATTACGCATGGTAAATATTCATAATTAACTTCACAATGTTATGAAACAAATAAAAGTATGGATGTCCCTTTGTATTCCCAAGAGAATTAATTCATGATTTATGATTACATTATGTATAGAAGTTACAATTCATAAATCTATTCATGTGGTGGAGAAACCGTTTCATAGGTTTCTTCATATTATTGTAGTAGTGGATGTTTAATAGGATTTATGTACCTTTAATCTTGTAGTGCCTATATATAGAGGAACATTGAAACCCTTTGAAAGGACTTTTGTATATTGTTGAAATATAAGGATATCATTCTCCCTTTCTCTACTCCTTTTTCTAATACTTCTTCAATTCCTATTGTAGTATCTTCATTTTATTAGTTTTATAACACGTTATCAGCACGAGTCTCTACTTTTGAGAAAAAGGTGAAAACGGAGCCTCTACCTTGAGTAAAAGTGAAACACGAGATTCTGCCCGTATTTTTTTCGGCAATTTCTGTCTACTTATTGAGGCAAATTTTTGACACATAAATTTATTTCAATTCTTATGGCTAACATTTAAATGATCTAAAAATACAAGTGCCTATTGCTGAACAATTACTAAACACAAATATATACTGGTTGACATCTTTGAGGTAATATTTCTCCTTTTAATTCTACTTATTTATCTTTAAAATTATTTGTTATAAATACTTATATTCTGATGCAATGAATTTTGGAGATGCCATTATAGAAAATTAATTATATTTGAGGATCTACTTGTCCTTTGAAATATTTAAAGAAAAAGATTCGATTACCTGAAGATGGTCGTTCTTTAACGAAAATATTTGGCCACCAGAAAATGGTCATTATTTCAAAATCTGATATGATAAATTTACTTATGGCTGCAAATACACAATTTTACTATGTTTAGAATTATTTCTTAATTGAAAATGATATTCTCCACAATTGGTTTCTCGAATATGCTCCTGTAGTAGCAATATTAAGAGAAATTTGAGAAGTATTCTGTACTTATTGCATGCTAGTTCTAGTCCATTCCCAGAAGTAAATGCGACTAAATTTCAATTTATTAGTTATGGTTGTTGCCATGATTATGATTTTGGTAAATATATATTTTACCATGACAAGAGAAAAAGTTACCACTTGAAGTGGGATAATAATGATAAGGACACGAAAATAAAGGTCCTAAAGATAAATGTCTCGAAGTACATTTGACAAATCAAAATTATAATAGCATTTTCACATGGCCAATTTCTTTAAACACCCTGAAGGTGTATGATGATTGATTTAATTAGTTTTTCTTCCCGAAGAAGAAATAGATGTTAAACATTTGGGATCAAAGGATTATAGTGATGATATTTGTCCCATAAGAATTATGATGATAATGATATGTGTCTCATTAATAAGTGTTACTATATACACTATTTTTCAACAAAAGAGACAAACACAATTAATGTTAGTGCTTAAGTGATTGAAAACTCCAGAAGAACCACTACTATATTTCTCCCTGTAGGAGAAAAGTTTATTGTGAGGCCCCAGTCAGTTCGTAAGTTGATATTAGGGTCATTTAATATTCGGTGTGGTGAAATTAAGGTTTTAGGGCTAAGGAGAAACCCTAAACTCGGCTAAGATTGAAAACCCTAACTTTGCTTATGATAAAACCCTAATTTATGCGGTATTCTAGTGTGTGTTTTAGCACAAGATAAAAAATAGGATTCGTTATAGTTTACAGAGGTTTAACAAGTTTGAAAATGGTTAGTAAACTCTGGATTAGTAAATCTCTAGTGTTACAATATTAGAAAGCTTAAGTGGAGTTTTATTTATCTCCCGTCTTTTTTCACATTTTCTTTATCAGGAAAATTCCCCAGATAATTTTTATGAGTAAATATAGGTTTTAGATGATTTTTCTAGTATCGGTTAGTTTTTGAGAAATTAAGAACATATATCGGACGTGGGACCCACTAGTGCGGTAAGTTTGGAAAAATTCGGTCAGTTAGGTTAAGTTTTGGATATTGGGTTTAATTTACCGGGTGTTATGAGATAATTAAAGGTTGTTATATGGATGAGAGTGGAGAGAGACAAAAGGATATGTATGTATTAAATAGGGTGACAAGTGTCACCATATGATTAAACCTTACAATTTTGACTACTATTCACCTTTTTACTAATTGACCAAATAAACCAAAAAATTACCAAATCATCTTCATTTTTAGCTCCTTATAGCTGGCCACTCTCCAAGGAGAAAGAAGAAAAACCTCTTCACTTTCTTAACTTCAATCTTGCTCAATCTTCGATTTCAACCGATTAAATTCGAAAACTCTCCATAAAAATCCTTCTCTTAGTAGTTGTGAGGTGACTAGTGAAGTTGTTTGGAAGCTTAAGGTGCTAAGTGGTCTCTCTTCTTTGGTTCTAAGGTGAGTGACTATGGAATCCCTCTCTTCTATCTAAAGATGCTTAATGAATGACTTGTGGTTGTTACAAGTGTGATTTGGTGGACTATTTCTTGATTTTAGTTAAGATTGATGAATTTTTCTATTTATTTGGGATTTTTGCTGTTTGCATATGATTAATATTATGTGGCTATGTATGATGATTGGAAATGATTGAGAATGAAGCTAGTTGGTGTGAATGGTAGTTAATTGCAGCAAATTTCTGGTTTGGAAGATAAATTAGCAAGTTAGGGTTTCATTGTTCTTCATTCTGTCCGATTCTGTAGCACATAGTTAGAGGC